ATCAACAGTTGACGAACGCATAACGAGAGCGCAAGAAATGGCCCTGGCCCGCTTTTATGCTCCCCCCAATGTACACAAACAGGGCGCACCCCTCCGGGCAATTGTATCTGCCAAAGGAACTGCATACTATAGACAAGTAAAGTGCCTGTTCCGACGGCTGAAATGCCTGACCGCCGATTCAGACACAACAGTCAGGTCGTTAACATAATTCTCGGAGAAAATTAAATGGGTAACTCTCCTGCCAAGCGATGTCATGGTATCTTTTGATACCACGTCTCTCTTTACTCCTATTCCACAGGACCTGACAGTCTAAACGGAGAATTATCTCGGGAACGCCCGAATCCTCCAGCTCATACCGTTCTGCCTGAAGACGTAATTTACCCAAAACGGAATTAACTACGAATAGGTAAAGGAAACGCCCATTGGCTTGCCCATTTCTGAATTCATATTAGAAGCGGTCCAGCCACTTCAAGACACGTTTTGGTACTTTGATTGCCTTCGTCTATACGTCGAGCTCCTATGAGTAAGCCTGAAAGTAGAAAAAAAGTATGGCGTGTGCTGCGAGCAACATTCCGAAATTTTAAAAAGACCGGTAATCACTCGCAAACCAGCATGTAGTAGTCTAATTTCAATTATTTTCAGTCAGGTTAGAATGCCGACTGCGAAAACGTTGATTCTGCAAAAATGGCTACTTAAATAGTGTTCAGTTTTATCATTGCTTTGACTGCCTTCATAAGTTCAAACATATTTTATGGTAAGCATGCACAAAAAAATACTCTCTTGTACTTATTCATCAAAAAATTGCGCCTTCTTTACATTTTATTCTTGAAGGAAGGGTTTTCTTCTGTTTTTAACAAAATTCTAATTTAGAGTTAGGGACTTCCGTGCAGATGAGGTGGGCGCATTAATAACACAACATTCGCAGGAAACAGGACCTTTGCACCTTATACCCCACAGCAAACGCCAAAAACAAAGGTAATTGGTGCTATGCGGGTTCTAATCTAGGGGTTTGCCAACCCTCCGATTCGGTGTGACTAAAAGAAAAAGCCAAAAATGGGCTTCCTAGTTATTTCTGATTCCATTGCATAAAATGCTCTCCTTTTAATGATTCCTTAGTTCTCTAATGCAGCATAAACTGCAGCAGATGATATATCTGATGAAATGTGAAAATAAAAATTTGAGGGGGTGGGTTAAACGCATATTGTTGTTGTTTAATTTATTCGTTAAATCGAAGTGAGGCGACAAATAATGTTGAATAGCAAATAGTTCGCTTCAACTCAGTAAAATGTTGGCAAATAAGGATAGAATGGAGCAACTTCGAATGCTTCTTATTACACTGGATCCATCATACGCTATTAATCTCTGCGGATAAATACTTCTTCGCGCGTGTTTCACTAACACGAAACATATATAAGAACCAGAAACCTTTATAGTCAATCTGTTCGGGAACAGAAAATGTAATGCTGCTATCCAGAAATTTAGGTAAGTCTACTTATGAGAACAGATGAGCGGTGCCGATTTAAAAGAGTTGTGTATAAGAAATCTGTTAAGCGTTGTTCCACAAAGGTAAGCACTGAAATCAGAGAGCAATAATACTGTTTTAATAAGCCGAAACTGGAACTCACAAATAACCATGTATGAGATGTCGTTAAATGTCATAAGTTTTCTTTAAAAAACACAGTACGCGAACCCCATCCAAACGTTTTCGATATATCGGAGAGTTTTAGATTCAGAATATCCAACTACATATATTGCTCCTCATTTGATGAAAATTAATCCGTAATTTTTGGGTCAATATTTCCGATTTCTATCTCTATCTTACTTTCAGGATTAAGTTTGTTATGGGATTATTTTTAAAATTATTCTTAAGCGCATTCGTTCTATCGGCAATTAATTGGTTTGCTTGACTGATTCTAAACATAGGACCAACAAACACAGCTGCTTCAAAAAGAATGTTTAAAAGCGGATTGTTAAGATAAATACTTTAAAGGAAGACCTTATTTTGAAGCTTTTGGTAAACACGCAGAATATAATCGTTATGTATGATCAAGTCAAGTCAAGTTTATTAAGGGTAATATAGGCAAATACCTTTGAAATCCCTATTGTTACATAGTAGTTGAGAAGTGCATTGGCATAGCTGAACATTTCAAGGAAGCCGTTTACATAATATTAGGTGACTACACGCATCTTTCAAGTAAATCACACACATGTTGTGGCGTACAACACATTACATATCTAACAAAAGGTTGGGGATTGGGGGGACAGTCGTTTATTTGAAGCCCCTTTCCCAAATACAAACTTGAAGATTGCATATGTCGCAGAATTTCATGAAACCATAACTTTCGCGAGCACTCATCAGCTGCATCCAGTCGCTTTATAAACTGTGTGACGAACGAGAAAATACAGAATTGAATTCATACAGAAAAATTGATACAAAAACATCAAGGTCACGAGAATTTGCCAAGAGGCAAAAAACGGTGTAAAAAAGTCTAAGGCAAACAGTTGGCAAGTGGAATGTGTAAAGATGGAGCTCGTGCTACCACGGCAGGGTTCGATTCACCACATGCCCTAGTTGGTTCCGTAGGTCAGGTTTAAACCACTGTATGTATGCCGCCTCCAGGTAGCGTAAGATACAAGTTGTTTGTGCCAAACAAGTACTAAGGAAGATATTTTAGTGTCTGCAGAATGTCACGTATCCAATAGGTGTTCCGTAATTTAGGCATGAGGAGTTCTATTCTCCTTTTTTAATAACCAATAGTGCTCCTTAGCTCTTGCTGCCAATTGCGTTTCTGTTTGCCTTATGTACTTGCATCCGCCAGTGCATGTAAATTCGTAAACACAATTTGATGTGGCGTACAAAAGCAAGGCATACTTCGCAATTGGAATCGGAAGGTTCTTTATCGGGTTATAAAATGTGAGCTCTGCAGCAAAGTAGGTCCTTCCAATGGTGTTACGTAAGCGTTTCTTATTGTGGTTAACATTGTGTCCCCCTTAATGGGCAATAATATGAAAACGGGCTATTTTAGAATTAACTGTTCCATCTCTTTTTGCCGTATGGATTTGTTATACTTGTCGATAAACTGAGCTGGGTAACCATGCTTGAGTAGAACCTATTTGAGGCTGGCAATTTCTGCATTCAATGTATCCTTTGAGCAGATTTTGTCAGTCCTCTGGAAGAGGGCGCAAACTAAGTAACGTTTCCCTCTTATGGGTAAAAAGTTAGATAATGCAAAAAACTGCCCTTTCCATGCATTCTAATGGAAAACTCTGCGTGTTATGGAACCATTCTTTTGTCTGTCTATGTGAACGTCTAAGAAAGGAAACTGGTTTTCACGTTCTACTTCCATCTTACAATTATTTTTTGAATGCAAACTGTTCACTGTAAACAGTAGTTCCTTGGTTCCTTGGTTTTCCTTCCTTTATGTACAAAGAATATCAAATTCCTATTTAATGGACAACTGCTTAGACAATTTGAAGGAGTGGCAATGGGTTGTCCTCTTGGTCATACCTTTGCATAAAAATGCATTGTTCACATCGAAGAAAAAGTTCCTTCCACGATCTCTGGAACGATAGTTTTATTCTGAGCTTTCGGCTCCACACGAGAAGCAATCAAACGTCATCTACGCAGTAGCGGGTTGTTAGGGGGTGGGGGGTGGTGGCAATTATTGATCGGTTCCTGTCCATGCCACGTCTATTCTCCCGCTATCTTATCGTGTCTCCGATGCGCGTCCCTAGAGTAGGCTCGTGTGACTTAGACGCTGTGGCCTACATGCTTGTAGATAAACTGGGCCCTGGTTTCTGGACACGGGCACGGATGGCAAAATAACAGGACGGGATATCCACATGCTGTTTATGGAATTAGGATCTGACACCCAGGCCTCCTGCACTTCGCGTCTAGTCTTATTACTGGCTCGTGCCATTATCCGTGTGTTCGAGAAGTCGAATTTGT